GCACGTGTGCAGAAGCAGCAAAGGGTTTGCAGCAGCGGCTGGGCAGCTCCACCATGGGTGGCAGTGTGGATCTGGAAGAAGGATGGACATTTTAAGACATGGTGGTGAGGGAGGGGGTGTTGGGGAGGGTTAACTTAAAGGATAACCACTTCAAAGAAAAATAGTGTTTCCACCTCATCCCAGTAAAAGTTTAAAAAGCAGCATGAACGCCAGTTATTGGAGGCCCCAGAGAAAGGGGAATTCTGTGTGTGAAGGACATTTATTGGGATCTTTTTCAGCAATTTGGCAGATAAAGTTCTGTGACCTCTGGCCTTTGGATGCATTTCACAGTTGTTTTTTTTTTCATTACATACCTTATTTTATACCCAGTGACATCATCACTGGTTCTCTATGCAATGCAGGCACATCATGGCTGGTGGGAGGAGCCAGCAGGGTGCTGTACATGGCTTCCTGAAAACAACACAGCAGCCTGCCTCCATACACCTCTCAAGAGCCTTCGGCCCTGATGCAAGTAGTGGGCTGGCTCTTGGGAGGAGTTATGCAAATTTCAGACACCTTGATGGGTGGGTGTCAGTCTGGAGGAGGGGGTGTTCCTAGACGGGCTGTATTTGCATGCAGACCACCCACGTGGGATGCTGAGCTTCCATGATTGAAAGAACTGAAATCCAATGAATGAAAGGGGTGGGGCCAGGTACTGTCAGGCTGGAGAGAAAAGAGCTACATAATGCTGGATGTCCTCCAGCCAGGAAATGGGGCTGACTTGACATGCTCTTGGCCATAATGCTGAAGCCATCCAGATTCACTGCCAGGGACAGTGTTGTCCTGAATTGTATGCCGCTGTGGAGTCAGAGAACGGTTCTGAAAAAGGGGCAGAGGAGGCAGAGAAGGGGGGTAATTGGCACATATTTGTTTTCTGCCGTCTCTCGCATCTGCAAAACCTTTCTTATACATTGGGAGGGGTGAAGGACATTTCTAGGCAGCCTCAGAGTTCAGGCAGCGGTCAGGAAAGTGCCATGAGGCAGATCAGACTTTCTAGGAAAAAAGGGGGTTTTATAGGTGTGTAGACACTGAACTAAGGACGCAAAGTGCCCTCTGTAATCCTGATATGTTTTTTTTTATTTACGGATGCACAAAAAGTAGGTCCAAAAATTGTACTATGGGCAAAATGTGGATCGTACCAAAATGGCCGCAAAATGTGGTGCATCCCTAGCTTCTCTCCTCCCTGATGGGTGCCAGGCTGTATGCCCTCTGATCCCCGCTGCTCTCCTCCGCCTGTGTCAGTAGAGGCAGTGGGGATCACAGGGGACGCATAGCCGATCCAGCAGGGAGGAGAGAAGCTGTCAAGAGGCTGAGCAGGGCGGTGCGGTAGGAGAGCTCGGCCTCCTGTGACATGCGGAGGGGTCAGGATGCAGCGGAGTACAAACAACAATCAGCACTGATCACCGAGTGTAAGTAAACGACTGAGCACATAGTAAGCTTACCGTGTCCCCAGTTATGAATGGACAGGAAGTGCTCTACATCCCTTCCTGTTCATTCATGATTGTGAACATAGTAACTGTTACCATATCCTCAGTTTATGAATGAACAGATGATCAGTATAGGGGCTTCCTGTTCATTCATAACAGGGGCTGCAGAAAATGAGATTTAAGACTCTGTCTTTTTCTATTTTAAAAAGGAAATTATCAGGGATCCATTTAAACCCTAATATTTCCACAAAGCCCCTAAAAGTAGTAAAGTAAAAATAATAAAAAATGTAAAAAGGTTGGGGGGGGGGGGGGGGACAAAAAAAATTTCATTAAAATTTTAGGTTTTGGCCTGAAACTTTTTAATTTTGGTTTCGGTTTAAAAATGTCATTTCTGTGCATCCTTAATTGTGATTGGAGAACCTTCAAAATGATAATTAAGAAGGTTTCTGATCGGTAAATGTGTATAGAAAGTCATGAATATTATATACAAGCTGATTTGTTAAAGAGTAAACCCAAAATCTACATTTCGATGCGTCTGGTATCGTCTCTCTGTATAGTTTTCTTCAGCAACTCATTTTTGGTGAATCTGATACAAAGTTTCTCCCCTGAAGATCCTGCCAGTGACAGCACTTCCTGTTGTAGGCTGACAACCCTTAGACCCCCATTCACACGGAGCGTTTTGTAGAGAGATTTCGGCTCACAAATCCCTCAAACATGTTGCTCAATGTAGCTCTTCCGATGGGGATGTTTACATCTTGCAGCTCAATGTCGCATGTAGCTGAAGCTGGTCCCTCGAACATGAGCTATTTTTCGGCAGGTATCGAGCGATTTGGGCCCAATAGACTTTCATAGACTGCCATAAGAAGCGCGACAAAATGTTCACTGTAGTTCAATGTCACTCAGCTCAAATCAGCGCTGTGTGAGGGGGACCTTTCACACCACCAAGAGTGCGTTCGGCCTATGGAACGCAACCCGGCCCGCTCACTTTGTTTTGGGGTGGGAGGGGGCGTGGCGGTGCATTGAACTCAATGGCACCGCAGCCACCCGCAGTGCGAGCACCGTCACCCGAATGCGTGGCACATTAGTGCCTGCGTTCCGGTCCAGAGCAATCTGCATGCACTGAGTTCAATGCACTGCCCCAAAACAAAGTGAGCCGGCTGGGTTACGTTCCAGAAGCCGAATGCACTGGAACGCACTCTTGTTGGTGTGACTGGGCCCTGAATGGGGGGTCTAAGCCGTGGCTTCGCACTCTTTAGCAGTGTTGTCAGCCTGCCATGTACAGTAAACTCTCAGTTAGCTGGTATTCAACTAACCAGAGCTCTCATCTAACCAGAAAAAAAAAAATCCCCTGTGAACTCACTGTTCTGCGGCATCTATTATCCTGGAAATGATCGTGTGTCTATTTGCTTTTGATTCTCGCATTTCAATATTAATATGAAGTCAATACAGAGTTATTGATATGTTATAGGATGGGGTGTAGTATGGGGTAGGTGTAGTATGGGATATGGCATTAGTTAAACCTATCTTTAATAGTGACTCTCAAGCAACCAGAAACTACCTTTATCTGGAATCTACCAATGCCCATGGATGCCAGATAATGGAGAGTTTACTGTAGCTGGTTGGTATCAGGACTATTATATAAGAAGCCTGAAGGAGTGAGGATGGCAGGCTGCTAACTGCAAGGCAATGGCTTAGGGTAGTCACTCTTGCCACTTACACCCCTCCTCCCACTCACACAGGATCTCCAGGGAAGGAACTTTGCAATAAATGCACAAAAAATAATTTGCTCAAGAAAACTTGCCAAACATACTGAAAACTAGATTTGGGGTTTTTATTTCCACCTTTGCAGCCACATTGGGAATCACACCTCCTTTATATTTGTTGTTCACAGAGACAAACTATAAAAAATAATCTGCTGCTTTCCTTTGTACATCTTCTTTGCTTACAACTCAAAAATGAAAAGTAAATCCTTCTCCGCTCCCCTTTTATGTAATGATATGGAGGGGGCTGGGGGAGGGGGGGTTTACTAATTAACCTCATCTGTATTGTGCTGGCAAATCTTTATTAACCGTTGCAAAATAAATACACACACCGTTTGTCCTAACGAAGGGGTAGCGGTATGAAGGTTTGGGCTCTGCATTGTATGTTCATGTACTCGCCATCCGATCTGTCCCTAAAATCCAATACAAGCTCCCCGATAGAGTCCCGGGTATAAACCCGCTACTACTAGAAAGCTCAGTTTTATTATTTCTAGGCATGATGTGTAAATGGGAACACAAACAGATAGTGGGGGGGGCGGGGGGTCTCAAATCTGGCTGCAAAAGGTGGGAATAGGGTAGGTGGATTGCAAAACGCAAAATCCCTGCTCCAGGAGCCGATACCAGTTCAGTGTATCCAGATAAAGAGTCTATGGAGGCTGATCTATAAAAAAGCTATTGCTCCACTGCACTTCACTCAAACTTGCTGCTAAGGGTCACCTGAACTTAGATGAGATCTGTATCTCTACTGCAGGGGTGGGCAACTCCAGCCCTCCAGGTGTTGTGGAACTACAAGTCCCATGAGGCATTGCAAGACTGACAGAGGCCTGACTCCCAGAGGCATGTCGGCATATGTAGTTAAAACCCAGCTGGAGGGGCCAGATTTGCCCAACCCCTGCTGTACTGTCTTGTTTCGGCTTGCAGATCACTAATCACCTTGGCACTGCCCTACTAAATAAGCAAAAACCGGAGTCCAGCCCAACCAATACTACTATTGCAGCCAATCTCAACGGGGGTCCCTCCAGAGGTTGCCTGGAGTCCCCTGAGCTGTGGCCAATTTACCTCCATCTGGTGGTGCCTGTATTGTTCCGGGGGCCAATGCCACTTGGCAGAATCAGGAGAATGACAGCAATGATCTTATTAGCTGTCTGCAAGGTTGCCATTCTGACCACCACTGTAAGGTGGCACGCTACCCAATGACCACCACTGTAAAGTGGCATTTTTTTCCCCAATGGCCACCATTGCAATGGGGCATTCTGACCACCACTGTAAGGTGGCACACTCCCCAATGGCCACCATTTTAAGGTGGCACGCTCCCCCAATGACCACCACTATAAGGTGGCACGCTCCCCCAATGTCAGGGGCATTCCTGCCAATGAGCCCCAATCAATTAATTTTAGCAAGGGTTTCCCAAGACCTGAAAAATATTTCAAGGGTTCCTCTGGAGTAAAAGGGTTGAGAAAGGCCGCTCTACTGGTACAAAAAAACAAAACTTGTTTTCTTTTTTTAAACCCATAGACCTACGACAGACGACACAGCCCATTTGTTCAAATATTAAATGGAAACACTGGCTTATAATTACTGCAAAAGGAGTTCTTGAGCGATCGCTACATTCCCAATCCAACCCTTCTGCTGCTGCTAGGGAGGAAGGCTGGAAGGTGCACTAAGGGGACCATTCAGCCCTGCGGGGCTGGCAGTATCCTTCCACGTCAGTTTGGTTGTTCAGCAGCAGGCAATGTTAGGAAGGTCTCGGCGATGCTCAGCAATAACAGGCTGCAGGAAATTGCAGCGCTCGGGGCCCAGAACGCCCTCCGTGAACACGGGCTGCGGTGATTCTGACCGCAGGAACGCGGCGTTAGGTTAGGAAGCGGCCACCAGCTGTGGTTTGGGTTTGTTCTTGACAGCTTCTTTCTCTGTGGGGAGTTTAAAAAGAAAATAAAATGAATAAAAAAGACTTTACAGCACTCAACCTCCTTCATCAAGCCAGCTACACCAATTGATTTGCCATTGTTTCTCGCGTGTCTTTATGAGAAAGCAAAAATCTGAAATCTATTTCCCTTACTTTGATTAAACTCGCTTTTATTTAACTTTGCATATAGCAGAAGGACACACACTTACCCGGAGTGGTTTCTGGAAGTGGCTCTGTGGGCACCTCTGGGAGTTCCATATCTTCCTGTAATAGAACATGGAACAGCCACATAAAACACATTGTATCAGCTGCTTAGCCTCTTAAAGCTGAAGTTTAATCAGCTTATAAAATGTGCCCCCCTCCCCATCAACATGCTAATAACATACTTTCTTTTTATTTTCATTACAAACCTTAGTTTATAACCAGTGATATCATCATTGGATCTCTGTGTTTCCCTATGCAACACAGAGAGATTATGGCTGTTGGGAGGGGCCAGCGGGGTGCTGTACACATTGCCTTACTACTCCTGAGCTGGCTCTTGGGAGGAGTTATGAAAATATTAAAATGCCTTTACGGGTGAATGTCAGTCTGGAGGAGTGGCAGACCAGGGAGAGCATTGTTAGGAGGCCAGATGTCTGAAATAGGAAGAGATAGTTGGCTCCAGATCATGCAAGAAAGAAGGATGGCAGCGCGGAACCCAGCATGCAGAGGGGGGGGTTCTCTTTTTCCACTTGACAGCGGGACACGCCC